ACTAATTCAAGAAAGTTAGCATATGAGTAACAACTGTCAAAATAGTCAGTGACACACACTGGGCAGATTAAGGTTTCAGTTTCTGCTGCTTTTGTTCACCAGGGCAACCAAAATCCAAGCCCACTTGCTTGTGAACACTCTTTCTTCTTTTGTGTCTTTCTGATAACACACAATGTTGGTTACAATAACATCCAAAATATTATTATTATCAGTTGGGAGTGCTTTGAGAGTTCCTGCATGGCAGGGGGTTGGACTGGATGCCCCTTGTGGTCTCTTCCAACTCTATGATTTTATGACCTCCTTCATTTTTTTCCAGCCTCCTCTTCCTCCTGTATTGTCGCAAAGAGCTGCATATACAAACAATTCAACCTACAACACCTAAAGTAGCCTAGACCATGCAGGATGGTGGATGACAGTATCCCATTTTTAGTACTGAAGGTTCAAATGTGAGCTTCTGTACACAAGATGGAAAGGGCCCCATCTTATCTTTCATTTCAAGCAGTAAAATGTCTTGGATTAGTCCTGCCGTCATTATGGTAAGTCCTGGGTTCAGTTCCTATTCACTCAAGAAAGTTATTGGAAAAAGTTGGTCTATAGATTCTTCCAATAGAACATATACCTATTGAGAACTGTTAAGAGAAAAGTAACTGTTAAGAGAAAAGTATCTCCTGTGAAGAATAACAAAAATGTCTCAGTTGCCCAAGTTGATACAGATAGTAACATTCCAAAGCACATACCTGCAAGGAAAAAAAATTGCTACTACATGAATGGCATCTATATATTACTGGAACAACTGTTACATTGTTAGAAGATGTTGTAATACACTTTTACATTGATATGTGCTACTTGACAGGATACATAAAAGAGATCTGGAAGAGGCAACCTTGCTATCTGAAGACGTTGAAGTCTATTGTCTAAAGCACTGAAGAAGTCTGCTCCATTGTAAACTTCTGATAGAAGATTCCTCTGAATCAAAAGAAGATCTTACTATGGAACTCCACTGAAGACTTTTTAAAAATGCTGCTTTTCAAATTAACAGCATGTAGATGTTATGCTCATGTCAATGAACTACACGTAGTGCTAGGAAGTTGGTGCCCAATGATGGTTATAGAGCTCCAGTTCTAGGTCACAGAAGGCTCCTGGGTATCCAACACTTGGAAAGGGGGCAAGTGAGCCACAAATGGGTCTCACGGGTAAATTAATTCTGCTATTCCAGTGTAACCTAATTCAGCTCAACGATCCAGCTCCTGCTATTCTCTGTTGCTATCAAGGCAGAAGCAGATGAGTTCTAGTTGAAAGCAATCCCTTGTGGCTTTAATTACAAATGTTGTCATGACCCTTAGTTTCCCTTCAGGAGCATCTACTGTTGCCGCTGTGCCACATTTCTCCTAGAAGATCTTACACCTGACTTCCAACACTGGGCTATTCCCCAAGGATGTCCTCATCAAGGAAACTTGGTGGGTTTTAAAACTGTACAGCTTGACCAGAAAGTGCCAACTCCCTCCTACATATACACACAATTGTCTGTTTGTCAGCTAGGGTGTGTGTACTCAGGTGTTTGTAGAAGAATCTTGTTTCTGACAGAAAGCCGAGTAAGGATACACAGGTCACACAACTAGATGTAACATAAGAGGTAACTCCTACATCTGCATACTCTTCTATGAGTGGGAATTTAGATTTCTTCATCAAAGGGTCTTATGTGTTAATGGTCATGTTCACTGACTAATCTATTTTGGCCTTACCAGTCATTAAAGTATTTTTCAATATTTTGATGGGAATTCTTCCCTTAACTCAAGAGCTTTCTTTTGGACTAGAACTCCCACCATCCCTGTCAATTGGTCACATGGGAAAGGGATGGTGGGAATTGTGTCAGTAAGGCACAAAAATGGGTAAGGCTCCCTTATAGAAAGCAGAAGTGTGGTCTTGTGCCAATATGAGCCAACCTCTTTTTTATTCCTTCTGTTCTAAGCAAAACCTATGATGTATAACATTATTTAAAATGGTAAACATAGGACTATTTCATGGGGAAGAGTTATAGGATGGAGATGATTTTGGTCACCTAGGTGAATGACCTATTCCAGGAGATGGATGGGAGAGTGTGTTCCTGTTGGTTCTGCTGGTCTTCTCAGCACCTTTTGGTGTCATCTATCATTTGAGCCACCTCTTTGTCCAGCAGATTGGAAGTGATCAATATACATCCACATCCACAAAAAGGGAGACATAAGAGACTGCAGCAACTATAGGATCATAGCACTGATCTCCCACGCAAGCAAAATCATGCTCAAAATTCTGCAACACAGAAAGAGAAATCCCAGAGGTTCAAGCAAGGTTCAGGAAAGGAAGAGACACTAGGGACCATATTGCTACCATACAATGGTTAATGGAGCACACCAGCAAATTAAAAAAAAAAAGTCAGCACATGCTTTATAGACTATAGCAAAGCCTTTGATATATAGATCATGAAAGATTATGGAATGCCTTTAAAGACATGGGAGTGCAAACACATCTGATAGTCCTGATGAGGAATCTGTACTCAGGACAAGAGGCAACTGTCAGAACAGAACAGGGAGAAACAGAATAGTTCCCAATTGGCAAAGGTGTCAGACAAGGCTGCATCTTTTCGCCCTATCTAATAAGTAGATATATCTAATAAATAATCTAATAATCTATCTAATAAATAAGAAATAGTAAAAGAATTCTAATACCTGGGATCAAACACTGATAGAAATGGGGACTGCAGTCAGGAAATCAGAAGAAGATTAAGAATGGGGAGGGTGGCTATGAAAGAACTAGAAAAGATTCTAAAATGCAAAGATATACAACTCAGAACAAAAGTTAGAATCATACAAGCCATCGTATTCCCTATTACCATGGATGGATGTGAGAGCTGGACAATTAAGAAAGTTGATAGGAAGAAAATCAATGTATTTGAGATGTGGTACTGGAGAACAGTGCTGAGGATCCCATGGACAGCCAAAAGGGCAAACAAATGAGTTCTAGAGCAGATCAAGCCGGAAACCTCCCTGAAAGCCAAGATGAGCAAACGGAGACTATCGTTTTTCAGACACATTATGAGAAGAGAGGACTCATTGGAAAAGACAATAA